ACATTTCTCCAAATGAATGAGAACATCTTTTGTTTTAATGCCTTTGACTGCCTCCGCCTCTACCCATTTGGTGAAGTAGTCGACAACAACCAAAATATACCTCCGTCCGCCTGCTGTATACGGACCCTGAATGTCCATGCCCCATTTGGCGAATGGTATTGGGCTATGGATAGTCTTCAGGTCAGTGGTCGGACGATGGATGAGCTTGCCAAACCTTTGACACTTGTCACATTTTTTCACCATCTCCATGGCGTCTGCTTCTAGGGTAGGCTAGAAGTAGCCTTGCCGCCTAACTCTCTTTGCTAGGGTCCTGCCGCCTATGTAGGAGGTGCAGAAGCCCGAGTGCAAGTCTTCTAGGACCTCTCGTCCCCTTTCTGGTGTGACACATTTCAAAAAAGGTTGGAGATTACCTTTCTTAAAAAGCTCTCCATTGTGGATTTCAAAATTGGCTGCACGTTTTTTCATTGCAACCATCTCTAGGTAGGTATCCGGCAAGGTGCCATATGTTAAGTAAGCCCGGATGCCATCCATCCAGGTTAAGCTTCCATCTAGGATTCCAATGGGTTCCTCTTCGATGCTCCTTTTTTCCATTACCTCCTAAAAAACTGACCTAGGTGTGTCACAAGAGGCGGATGATGCCAATTTGGAGAGAGCATCCGCCTGATTGTTCTCAGACCTGGGCACCTGACTTAGATGAAATTCATCAAGTGTCTGTGCCTCTTCTTTGACCGCCTGTAAATACTTGATCATAGCCGGATGTGTGGCTTCATAGTCACCATGGTATTGGCTAAGAATCAATTGTGAATCAGAACAGGCGTCCACTTTCCTTGCCCCAGCCGCCTTACACATGCGGATGCCGGCTAGTAGGGCTTCATATTCTGCCTCATTATTTAAGGCTTAGAACTTGAAACGTAGTGGATACTCATACTTGTCTCCTTCAGGAGACTGACATATGATGCCTACACCACAACCATTCAAGGTGGAGCTCCCAAATTGGATGCATGGGAATGATCTAGGTTAGTGTTGATCTATTTCATCAATTTGCTTGAATAATTGCATGAGAATGAATTATTTGTGTAGAATTTGTATTCCTTGGCATGTATCCATGTTAATAATCATTGTTGCATTAGTTGATCATGATTGGAACCCCTTCTCCCTAGTGTTTTGATCTTATTTCTCAAATCTAGTGTTTCATCTTCAGTTTTAGTTCTTTTAGTTTGATTTCATCTCATTCACTTGATTTTATCAATTTTGGTGGTTTATTTTGATCATTGAAAACAAAAAAAAAAAAAAAAAAAAAAAAAATCAAATACCCCTTGTTACCTTGCAATAGATTCTTAATTTCACTTTGATTGTGCATTTCCCCGTTTCCTTGTGGTTTGACCCTAACTTGCCACTACTTGTGTAAACTTGGTAGTATAAAATTAGGGATATAAATTGTTGATTTGATCTAGGATAGTAGACCATGACCTATCATTAGACAATCAAATTTTTGGCGCCGTTGCCGAGGAGATGACTAGTTTTGCATTTTATTGTGATATTATTGGATTTGTTGCTTTTGCTTTTGTTCATTTACTCTCTTGCTAGTCATTGCTAATTGTTTGCATAGCTTTGGTGGATGCTAAAGAGGTCTCAAGGACACCCACACATTACATTGACCATGAGATCGACCGTACTTTGAGACAAGTCCGTAGGCTTTATCAAGAAGAGTCACGGGGTCTTGGTGGTATTGTTGAGATAGAGTGATTCTTGGTCTTCAAGTTCTCAAAGTGAGGCAATGGCGGTTGACAAGCGTTAAATCGGTCGCTACAATCTAACTCTTAATCAAACAATACTTATACGAACACCCTATAACCTGTATAATGGCAAATAAAGGTTTGGTCCACGAAGAACGGGAGTAACTGCTAATCAATCCTAAAACCTAAGCTAGTTCGAAATCAATGGAATATGGTATTCTAAAATACTACTAATAAGATGAAATAATCAATAAACTAAGACACTAGGGAGAACGGAAATCCGCCTAACCATTGGTAACTAAGCAACAAGGAATCACAGAGACAAACGGGATATGCAAAGACTATATGTCTGATAAATATCATGTGGTAGGAAGACAACGGGCAATACTAAGCTTGGATTTCTCATGCACTTAACATTACTCGATACATAATCAAACCACATTCAACAATGAAATACTCAATTCACAATCTCTTGTTCAAATCAAGAATATCATGCAATCAAATTCAAGATTCTAGGTTAGCTACTCCTATTATAATGAATTAACATGCAATCGCATATAATCAATTTAATCACAATCCGTTTATCAAAATCAACCCTCAATTACATAGATTACCTAGGCCTGGTTTCATCCCGAAACCCTAGCTAGGAGACTACTCACACATATTCATAATCAAAGCAATAATGAATTCCAAAAGCATAATAGATCTAAACATGAATTCTGATTAAGGAATAATAAAGCTTGATTAATAAACAAGAATGAATAATACCAATTGTATTGATGCGAATCAATGACAAAGTTTGGAACTTTGATATCCGATGTCAATGAATAATACAAAGAATCCCAACGAATCTTGCTTCGAATCAATCCGGAAAACTACGATTAACTAGATCAAATCAATGGAATCTCAACTACGGAATTGCTCTCTATCTCTCTACAAAGTCTCTCTGAAAAATACGTCTCTAATCTATCTCCCCAAATCTCTCTTAACCCTTACAATCGGGCTATATATATGTGTTTTAAATCGGAAAGTAAATCGCAGGCTGCCCTTCGTAAATCAGCATGGCCGTGCTAGAAGTGGCACGGTCGTGCAAACATGGCAATAGCTGATCCGCAATATCTTCAATTTTGGCACGACCGTGCTGAATTTGGCACGGCCGTGCTAATGCCTGGCACGGCCGTGCTGAATCTTGCATTGGCACGGGCATGGAAATTGGCTGACACGGGCACTGGCCTGACTTGGCACGGCCGTGCTGATGCATGGAAAATGGCACGGCCGTGCTTCATCTCTGCACGGCCGTGTTGCCTGGTCAGAATTGCTGGGGCTGCCTGGCACGGGCGTGCCAAATGTGGCACGACTGTGCTACTTGTGCATCTTGTGTAAACTCTTGAAAAACCCCTTAGTTCCTCGTATACGACCAAGGTTGGCTCGATCACGTACCAATGGCTCGGGACCCGACTAAACTCGGTCGATTATACCTGAAAGCACATAAAAAACAACCCGAAACTCGTGAAGCACGTAATACAAGGGATATAAGCATAACAAGGCAATAAACGACCAAAACGGTCCTAAATACGTCCAAAATCTTCCTATTATATGCTCTAAAGCGTGCCCTAAAGTGCGCTTATCAGCGGTACAAGAAGAGGATGTTTTGTTTTGTGTGTTTGGAAACCCAGAGGATTATGAACTCACGGGTGGGATTTTGCTACCCGTCATGGAAACCAATTTCACCATCCATCCCCAATATACAAGGATGGTACAAGCAGAGCAATTTTCGGGTTCACCAAGTGAAGATCCTATTGAGCACCTTGCTAGATTCCTTGAGCATTGTGCCATGATTCAAACTAATCAAGTTTCTCAAGAATACATCCGTATGCATTTATTTCGACAATCTCTTTCGGGTAGGGCCAAGAAATGGCTAAAGCAAGTCAAGCCAAATTCTCTCACAACATGGAGGGAGATAGTCAAGACATTCTTGAAGAGATTCATTTCTGAGGAAAAGACCGCCGAAATGAGAAGGAAGATTTCATCATTTGAACAAGAAGCGGATGAGAGTCTTAGTGAAGCTTGGGAAATGTTTAAAGAGTTGGTACAAGCATGTCCTCACCATGAATACAATCAAAGCTTGCTCATGCGATTCTTCTATGATGGTTTGGAACCTATGTCTAGAGCTAATTTGGATGCGTGGGCGGGTGGACAATTGATCAAGATCCCCCCAAATCAATTTGAAGCAACAATTAGCCAAGAACTACTCTTAGGGTGGTAGAAGGAGGAACACACCCAAGAAAGGTGGGATATATGAATTGGAGAAGATTGATCAATTACAACATCAAATTGAGCTTTTGACAAAAGGGCTTGCCAAGTTGTATATGAGTGTCAATAGTGGGACAAGCTCCTCACAAGTCAGCTGTTTCTTTTGTCAAAATTGTGGTGGTACAAACCATGATACATTTTATTATGGAGGTTTAAGCCCCAAGCATGTGGCGGCATACAACACTAGGCAAGATGGATATAGGGGAAGTGGCGGTGGAGTAGCTTGGGACAACCACCACCCGAATTTGTACCTCAACCTCAACAATGGAGCCAACAAGCCCAACCATCCTACAATTCCAACCCTCAATACCAAAACCCATCTCCACTTCAAAACCAAAACCCAAGAGTAAACTACCCTAGAAGCAACCAATACAACAATCAAAATCAATTGTCTCAAGGGAATAAAGATCAAGCATCTCAACCCAATTCCACACAAACCCAAATTATTCAGCAACTCCAAGCTATGAACCAACAAATGCAAGAGGTCAAGGCCCATACTAAGATGGTGGACTCCCAATTAGCCCAATTGGCCGAAAGAGCATCATTCAATTCACCTTCTACTCTACCCGGACAACCACAACCTAACCCATCTCACAACATAAAACCCGACTCTTGCAAGGCAATCACATTGAGATTAGAACATCTTATGAAGGTCCAAAAGAGGGGGGTTAGTGAGGAAAAGAAGGAAGGAGAAAAGAGTGTGAGTGAGGATAAGAGAGTTGAGGGAGAAAAAGTTGTTGAGAAATTAAAGAAGAGAGTGTGGAGAAGAAGAAGCTTAAAGATGAGAAGACAACTTACACTTTAAATCCTAGTGAAGCTAGGAATCTTGATGGGCCGGTCCCATTTCCCGATCTACTTGCGGAGAGGAAATTGAATGACAAGTTTTCAAAGTTCCTTTGTGTGATGAATAATTTGCACATCAATCTCCCTTTCATTGAAGTCGTCACACAAATGCCTTCATACTCCAAGTTCCTCAAAGATGTTCTCACCAACAAGAGGAAGCTCAATGATGAGCTCATAACTCTTCCCCATCAAGTGAGTGCACTTGTCCAACATAAGATGCCCAAGAAGGAAAAGGATCTGGGAAGCTTCACTTTTCCGGTAAAAATTAGAAACATGGAGGCTAGGGGTGCCTTAGCCGATCTTGGAGCAGGTGTTAGTTTGATCCCTCTATCCATTGCTAAAAAAAAATTGAGATGATACCTACAAGGAAGACAATCCAATTGGCCGATCGTTTGGTGAAATTACCTTGTGGTGAACTTGAGGATGTTCCTATCCAAGTGGGGCACATCTACCTGCCTTGTGATTTTGTAGTGATGGATATGGAGGAAGATGTTGACACTCCTTTGATCTTGGGTCGTGAAGCTCTTAAAACTTTGGGGGCGGTCATTAATTGCAAGAACAACACCATCACATGTGAAGTGGCCGATGAGAAGATTGTATTTGAGTTCTCTAAGTTGCTCAAGACCCCCATGGTTGAGAAATGCTATAGAGTGGATAATGAAGAGTTGGATCGTTTTGGAAGGGTCATGATGAAGCCCCAAGATGCTATGGTTGAAGCTCTTACATGCAAGGAAGAGTACCATTCACAAGAGGCTAAAGAGCTAGTCGTGGCCGTGGAAGAAGCTTCCAAGGAGGATGAGGTTGAACAACAACGAGAGGTTATGCTTGAGCATAAGAAGGAGAAATTGGAGGAGAGTTTTAAGCCTCCTCCCAAGGTAGAAATAAAACCCCTTCCCCCTTCTTTGAAATATTCTTATCTTGGAAATGAAGGGGAATACCATATTATTGTCAATGCTACCCTTGATGGACTTGATTTGGAAAAATTGCTTGTTGTGTTGAGAAAATATAGAGATGTGATAGGGTATAGCATTGATGATATAAAGGGTATTAGCCCCTCTTTGTGCATGCATCGAATTCATCTTGAGAATGATCAATCCACCTCAATTGATTGTGTTAGTCATTGTAGTGTTTGATTTTCTCTTTTCTCTCTTTAGTCTTGATTGAGGACAAGCAAGAGGCAAGTGTGGGGGATTTTGATGAGTGGAGTTTATGCCACTATTTCACCCCTTTTTAGGGAGGATTTTCCCTCATTTGTCACTTGTTTGCGCCTTCTCTAGTCATTTTTACCCTTATTTTGGTTATTTTTGCTTTCTCTTGTGTTTTTCTCCCTCTTTTAGCTTTTCTTGTGTTTTCTATCCTTTTTATCTTTGTTTTGTAGGTTTTGGGCACCTTTTGTTAAAGGAAGATGAGCTATTCTTGGTCAAGGAGTGAAGAGATGCCAGTTGGAGAAGGCACGCTGCCACCCAAAGGACCGTGGGGGCGGGCTTCTTAGCCGCGAGCGTAGAGGAGAGATTTTGGAGGTTCACTCAAGAACCTGTAGAAGGCTGCCCGCGTCCCAAGAGAGGGCTCTCCCCAGACAATCGTGGGTGCGGACAAAGGTGCCGCGGGCGTGGGCCCTTGCCTGCCATTGTCCCCCTATTCTTGCGCCGCAGCCTCTCCTCAGTCGAGAGAGGCCTCTCCATCAGCCATCGCGGGCGCGGTGATCCAAGCCGCGGGCGCAGTCCTTGAGGTGTGCTTGTCCGTACCCAGTAGAGAGAGGGCGCGATGCAGCTATAGAAGGCGCGATTTAGTTTGTTATTTTCGAATTTGTTAAGCACTATAAAAAGACTTTTTCTTGAATTTATGAATTATCTAATTTTCAAAATATTATGAGAGCTTTGTAGTGAGAGAAACTACTGGATTTTAGAGAGAGAAAGGTTCTTAATCTTCAAGTTTCATCATTGTAATCAAGATTTCTTCAAGTTTTCTTCAATTTAATGCAAGTTAATTCATGTTTTCTTCATCAATTAAGCTTCATAGTAGTAATCCCTTAACTCTTTCCTTTTTGTTTGGTTTAATTACTTTAGATAGTGTTGATCTTCATCTATTTCCTTGATTTTACTTGTTTGATTGATTTACTTTGATTTTGATTTATGTTTTGCTTTGTTAAGATTGAATTCATGCTTAGTGTAGTTGTGATGGCTATTTTCTCTTCTCTAGCTTAGAATTTCTAGTTAGGGAAAGGGGTGAAGATCATGATTAGCTTGGATTATAGTGCTGATTGATTGGATATTGCTTTGAGTTGATGATTTTGTGCTTAAATTGCTTGGAATTATTGATTTGCATCTTTAATTTCAACACTTGAGTTCTAAATTGGATGCGTGGGAATGATCAAGCTTAGTGTTGATCTATTTCATCAATTTGCTTGAATAATTGCATGGGAATGAATTATTTGGGTAGAATTTGTATTCCTTGGCATGTATCCATGTTAATCATCATTGTTGCCTTAGTTGATCACGATTGGAATCCCCTTTCCCTAGTGTTTTGATCTTTTTTCTCATATCTAGTGTTTCATCTTTATTTTAGTTCTTTTAGTTTGATTTCATCTCATTCACATGCTTTTATCAATTGTGGTAGTTTAGTTTGATCATTGAAAACAAAAAAAAAAAAAAAAAAAAAAAAAAAATCAAATACCCCTTGTTACCTTGCAATAGATTCTTAATTTCACTTTGATTGTGCATTTCCTCGTTTCCTTGTGGTTTGACCCTACTTGCCACTATTTTGTGTAAACTTGGTAGAGTAAGATTACAAATATAAACTGTTGATTTGATCTAGGATAGTAGACCACGACCTATTATTCGACCATCAGTACCATTGTTAAATCAATCATTGAATGATATCAGTAATCTACTCATGTCAGAGGAATCCACTAATATATCCGGAACTTCTAAACTTGAACTTCAAAATAGGTCAATAGTTTGATCATGCATCATTCATGCATATCCATGTGATTGACTGAGCATCTTTATGCCCCTATAGCCCATGAAACTGCGCTATCCAATCAATCTTACATACCAGCTCATTTATTGAAATCATTTATGTCCAATTTGATGATTTCGAGCTAGGAACTTAAATAATTTATGAATTTAGATAACATGTGGGGTTTCATTCACCAAATCACGTATTTGATGATCCCAACAATTCATAATTATTTTGGACATTTTATTAAATATCAAAACCATAATTAAATAAGAGAAATAATAAATTTCTGTTTAAACATAATTCTGCAAGTTGATGTATTACTTATGTGATAAGTTTTCTCAAAACATATAAAACTTAAATTCCATAACTTGCTTCAATCCAAGAGCTTTAGTATGACTCTCATACTTTGGAAGGGGTTTATTAAGTAAGTAAGTGATTCTATCCTAGTTACTAACCAACCAAATAATTTTAAAATCAATTATTTCCAAATCTAATTATAGGATAATCACATTATTTAAATCAATTATTATCCTTTTGGAATATGCTCAAAACATCCTAACAAATCCTATCTAAAATTAACCATTTTAATTATGGATAATCACCAAATCAACAACTTTTGAAATTTGATTTTATATTTCAAAAAAAACTTTGATTTTATTTTTGAAAATATTTTTCAAAAAAAAATATTTTTTTTTTTGAAAATTGCCGCACACCGCCATCCACAATGGTTGCCAGCTGGAGTCAGCCACGGTGGCTGGGCGCTTCCCAGAACCCATTGCCGTAAGGCAGTAGCGGCAGCAGCAACTGTTGTTGGCTGCAGACCACCATGCATGGCCAGCCAAGGCTAGCCACGGTGGCTGGCTGCTTTTCAGCAACCACTGCCTCAAGGGCAGTAGCAACAACAACAGCGTAGCCGCGACAGCAGCATACAACGCTTGCATGGTTGCTGCCCAGCCACCTTTGGACCACCTGCCCTCTCTCCTCTCCCTCTTGGACTGACACCGGTCGGCAGCCACCGTGGCTACGCCTCTCAGTTGTGGCTGATGGCCACTTCAAATAATTTTTTTTTTAATATAATTTAATTGAAACAACTTTTGTTAAAAACAAAAATAAATAAATCAGTCCAAAATTAAAATTAAATCCCTATTTAGTTTTAAAATTAGAGTTCTTCATAAAATTAATCCCAATTTATTCTAACTCTTAAAATTAAATTGTTGATCATACACAAAACACTTTTATGCATAGATCAATCTAAATAAAATTATGAAACATAAAACAAATCGAATTTAACCAATAAACAAGCACAAAATTAAATTTAGGGCTATAATTTTCGATAAATTCGAAATTAGGGATAGGGGTATTCGAAATTTGTAAACGAATTAGAGTAAAATTTCAGTCCTCTTTATAGCTATTTTGAGCATAATTAAATCACATTTAATCAATTCCAAGACTTAAATCACATTTAATATTATAATTAAACGATAATTAAATTAATCCCCCCTCTTAATTGATTATAAAATTATGAACATGGACTTCATAAAATCGTATTATTATAATCAAGCGTATGCGAGAGGCTAACTGATACCACTGTAGGATTATAGGTACTCTAAGCAGAATTTCATGAATCATATTCATACGCACCTAAAACAAGATCGCATGCATAACACACAACAATCACATAATTAACCTTGAAGCGTGATTTCCACGTAGCAAATTGATTGACAAATCATGGAGAGAATAGAGCCCCAAGCGTGACTTCTCTACTTAGTCCACGAGATTCGATCAAGCCGTCCACCAATGCTAGATTGGTTGAGTGAAGGGGAAAACCGTGATCACCACCTCATGGAAAACCGACCACCACCACGAACACCACCACCGTGCACACACACCGGAGCCGAGGAGGGGAGAGAACCGTGAGAGAGAGAGAGAGAGAGAGAGAGAGAGAAAGTGAGAGAGTTGGAGAGGGTTGGTTTCGTGTTTTCTAATTAGGGTTTGACCACACTGATCATGAATTGTTTTTGTTCAACCCTAGGCTCCTAGCCTACTTATAATTCTATTATAATAAGACTAGGAGCAAAGCCTAAACCCTCCTAATTCCTTCTCATGGCCGGCCACCTAGGGGAGAAGGCCCATCATGGGCCTTTTCTTCTTATGCTTGATCTACGCCCTTTCTGTGACCTTATAGGATCCGGTCAATTGGGCTTTGGCCTATTTTACTAGCCCAAAGATCGTTAGTATCTCTAGCTATGATATAACGACTACCCAAATGAACGAACTTAATTGTCTCCATATTTTGATTCATTATATATCTAGTAATTGCACTTAACGAAGACATAATCCTTCATTTACAGTCGTCAAATACCTCTTTAAGGTGTACATACGCTTGTGCGAGGTTCGGCTAGAGCTACATTCGGCCTGATTCCTAACGGATACGTAGGCAACCTCACATCGAGGTGCAGCCATGAATATTCACATTCATATTCATATTCATATTCATATTCATGCATGATCGTGTCAAGGGATCTTTAACGCTCATCCCTATCCATCTAAAGCTAGACTTGGGGGCTTGAACCCACACTATTTAGCCTACCAAGCCTTAAGAGTCATCATCTTGACTCTTCTCACATCTATTTCCATGACCATAACCTTTGTAGCCTCACCATTAGTATCACATTCACTCACATCATTCACACTCACATACATTGCCACATCATCCTTCCTTTAGGAACCTTTTATCATGAGAACTTGTTTCAACATCGTGTATGTTTCACGATAACATTTGGCAAGTAGTCTCACTGTTTAATAGCATAATTGTATACTTACTTAGCTTCCAAACCTAAGCAACATTCATCAAGATTCTATTTTTCATACACTGCATACTTTCTTAGGTTCCTGACCTAAGCAACATTCATCGACAAGAATCTTCAATCATACGAAGCATATTGTGCTTAGCCTCCTCGCCTAAGTACGTGGCTGCATCACATGATATAACTGTTCTTAGCCCCCTAGCCTAAGAACATGTATCATGCAAATATCATTCTCAGCTCAAGCACCACAATATGACTTCTTCCCATTTTCATCATTTTTTCTTTAAGGGAAGTTTAAAAACTTTTTCGAAATTATTTTCATTGGAGGAAGTCCTAAAACTTTTTTCACAACTTCATTTTTTCACGTATTTCTTTTTCGAGAGAAAGTCGGTACCCTCCACTCATGACAAAAAATAACGGAAATTTTTTGCATTTTCAGTTGTTTGTGTCTACAAGCACACACTCAATGTATATACATACACACACTATCGCAAGTCATACACATGTCATGTTGTGTCAAGTCTACCTCTATCGAGTTAGCTTGTCGAGTCAAGAGTCAATCACCGTCTGCACGAGTCCTTTGGCAAATCCCATTAGGCAGGTTTCAGGTAGAGCCTATGTTTGAGAACAATCAAACAATTATTTCATCAACCTCTGTTCGAG